CCACTAACTCAATTTTTTCCAACATGCATTTGGTATCTTAGATCCGACCAACCATAAATATATTTTACAAAGCAGTGTGATTGTGGCTCGACGTCATTCTCAGCCTTTCAAAAATGGCTCAAGACATGTTGCTCACAGCTACGACCTTAGCACCTTTCTCATGTATGAGCATCGCTTAAAATTTCTAAACCCTATAATTATAATGTTTTAGTTAACTAGAAGGAAGTGTAAACTTACTAAGCTCATGTTTGGTTCCATTAAAATTATAATAAATTTTTCTCTCCCTTCTTTTTAATCATACATTCTTTAATAAAAATTACATGAAAATCGATAACTTCACTTCTTTTTCAACCACAAATTCGCCAAAAAAAAAGACACTATTTCAAAAATTATAATATCAAATAATGGGGACAAACGGGATCTACATGGTTAAAAATGAATAGAAATGGAGTAAAACTTTACTTGAAATGAAATAATACCTAGTTGGAAAATGTTAAATCATGGGTTCAATTACTGGCTATCAACTCTTCGTGTGGCTTAGATGCCATCACGAGCTGTTGGAATTAAGAATTATGTTGGGAGTACAGGACTCCTTTCCCATGCACAGGGTTTTAAATTTGATGACGTGGCAATTAAAAAAAATGACAAAAGCAAACAAAGACAGAGGAAAGGAGAGGGAAACATATTATATTGTTTCCCACAATTTCACGCCTCATTTTCAGTGACGTTCTTCATCCCGTCGAACCACCATTCACCTCCATTGAGCTCTGATAAGTGCATTTTTGTGCATTTATTCGATGCCATTTTACTAGGCTTTTGTATCGTTTTATTATTGCATTTTACTTAACTTAGGTTATTTTTATCTTATTTCAGTTTTGGACCTGTTTCCAAGCAATTGGAATAGAAAGAAGGATAAATGGGCTAATTAATGAAATTTCGGGACTAACATGCATTTGGGTAAAATTTGAAGAACTACAATTGAAGTAATTTGATGAGGAAGACCATGATAGAAGAAAGAATGAAGAAAATGGTGGAAAAGAAAAGTGGCGAAAATTTAGCCTGGGCAACCGCCCATTTATTTTGCCTGGGCGGCTACCCAACCTTCAAGATCATTAACAGAACAAAAATAAATAACCTGGGCGGCAGCCCCATTTTGTACTGGGCGCTCTCCCAGGCCATTTCGGGAAAAAATTCTGGTTTCGTAATTCGACTACAATTCTTATAGAAACGAATCTTTGGGGGTATTTTAAAACCCTAGGCAGTCCAAAAGAGGGGGGAGACATTACAACACAAAAAGAACCCGAGAATACATCAAGAAGAAGATTTTGGGGCAA